GGCGACTCTGAACCCATACTGTGTTTTAGTCCCATTTCTCACCACCTCTCTATCTATCCAGGGTCTTCTGCCTTTCTCAAAAACATCTCTGCAGTAAAACCAACATTTGCTGTTGTTCTGGATTTAAAAACTTGTATGGAGAGGTAATAACGGCCAGGCCAAAGTCAAGGATTGCTAATGTGTGTGGTATGCTGAGACTTTACTCCTAATATCATGACACAATACTTGGACTATTACTCGGAAAAAACACTGAAGTTAATAGTCCTGAAGAATTACTAGTAGTGGTTAGACTATGAGAGATTAAACTTTCTTTAGATTTAGAATGCCACTAGATGAATGTTATAGACAATATTTGATTTGCTAACACTGTCTGTGGTCACTTGAATAGCAATAGGAAATGCAGGAAGCTTTAGCATAGCCCTTCATTCCGCGAGGCATACCGTACTGTACCGTGCCCAATTCTGTCATGTGTCAGAAATGTGGGGACGGACCTAACACAGCGAGGGTAAACAACTGCTAGATCTGTGGCACATTTTCAGCGGGTACAACAATATTTGTGTCTCCGCCCTGCATCTCAGCTTCAATTTAATGTTTCGTGTCTTCTGTTTGAGTGATGGCGGATTAAAATGCCAAGAAAGAATAGGCTACAAGTATGGTAGGGATGGTAATGTGTTATTTTCCATGCTCCAAGCTATTAACAGTGTTTGACTTAACAGTCTGCAAAGATGGCATTTGTTTTTACCCTGCTGCACTGTTTACAGGACTAGCCTGCTGTAAGGCAACTAGCTAGATGAACAGCCCTGGCTTTATAGCAATATCAGTAGCTGAACAAAAAAATACACTTTTATGATCACTTTTTTCTTGCACATATTTAGTAGAATCTACATACAAAAATAATCGTTGTCCATTTCATTCAGTATGTGCTGAGCAAGGCTGACATTCCTGTCATAACTGCAGTACAGTAAAAAAAAATCATCCATAACTGTCACCATTTTTGACAGGTCCAGAGGAGTTGAACAAGTGTCCCTCCTCTAGGAGAGAGAGCGGCCATCTGTGCAAGTCATGATCACTTGTCATCAGATGGTCCAAAATAACCCCAGCCCAGCAGACAACTGGCCCACCCACACTTTTCCATTACAGACCATTTAAACACCAAGAACCTGAAAATAGGTTGTTGCAAAGTCTCTTCTCCCAAAGCAAGATGCTTCAAGTTGTTTATTTTTCCAAGTAAAATGTTTCTCTTGTATTTGTGTGGCTCTTGGAAAATTCAATCATGGCACATGGCTTGAATTAGAATTGATCACTTTTCAAAATACATCAGTATGTAGTACTTATAGCAGATTGTATTGTTTAGGATTTCTGTCCAGGTTTCCATTGAAAATAGTTACTGTGCACAGAAGCACCTGCTGGTGGCACCTGCTGGGACAGACACACAATGTTTGGTTATGCTAACGCACCGTTACCTTTTGCAGTCAGTTCTGGAGTGATCACTTATAAGGCCAGGCACAAGCTGAGGAAACAATGTTTGCACAAGCACACACTTCTGTCACAAGACAGGTACCTTCTTTTGGTGCTCTCCTTGTTTGGTAGTTACCCCTGACTGTGTGACATGTGTTGTAGTAGGATCCCCTGTAGGTTTTACTGCATGGAACAGCCTCCATCGCACCTAAGGACCATCTCTTTAGTCTGTGCTTTTTTGCTACCATGCTTCATGTCTCAGCCCTTGTCCCAGTGTTTTAGCCTATACCAGGCTTGGAAGCAGCAGCACACCGTACTTCTTCAGCAGACCAACTCCCCTGGCATGTTATCTGTCTATTGGGCCAAGTCCTACTTTTTCCAGCCGTTTCTGAAGCCTGGTTGAGGCTATATGTAATCGTTTCTAAAGTCCACCATTGGAAGTTTATCACTGTTTTGGTTTTTAGGCTGTTAAGCAGCAGACATGTTGGCTAAGAGAAGTGCAGTAAATGTCAAGTTAGTGAATGAAGAATTTTCACCCCCTAACTCCAACCCTGACAGCGATACTTGTACCATCTGTGTCCCTGTCGTCTCCCCTATCCGCCCGCACACCTGGTCTCCACGGCAACCCGCTTCTTCTAAACATCTGACCACAGTCTGTCCGCACTTTCGCTGACACGTGCGGCCCGGGGGTCAGCGCTGATGCTGTCGTCCTGGAGACACGGGCTTGTTATTGAAGATGAGTGGACAATGTTTGGAGACCAAACTGTGACAGACTTGCTCAAACAGTTGTTGTAGGAGGTGGAGGGGTGCAGCTCGTTCCTTCCGCAGGAACAACACCCACAGTTGTGTCTCCAAACATTCTTTAAGAAATAAGGAAGTACAAGTGTCTGATTGTGTATACTCCAACTGTCCAACACCTTCTGTTACCTACTGACAGGCAGTATATATTTTCCACTATGGGCCTGTCAGGGGAGACAGAGTTGATACAGTAGATGGTTCAGGTCATCGGAGGTCAAGAAGATGACCCAAATCTGCTATATCACTAAAATAGGAGACAAGGACTGTTTATGCCCCCATATAGAGTCTGTCTGAGATGTGTTTCACATCACATTTTAAACGTCATTCAAATTCTTATCTGAAGAGAAAAACTCACTTTTGACATATTGGGGTATGCAATGCAATTTTCTAAAACGTCTGATATTTTGTGCTTGAATATCATCTTGATCTGAACCTTTGGCCTATAAACCTAAATAGAGATTTGTTTTATCACCCATGCAGGGTTGCACCAAGCATCCATAATTATTGTGTCTGGAGAATAAGACACTTTCATTTATTGTTTATTTGTAGGATGACAACTAAGCGTGCTTTGTGGTAGGTCGTGTTGAGCTGGGACAGATATAAAAGAAAATGGGGTCCTGAGGTCGCGATTTGTTACCCCGGAGTTTAAAGAACTTTTGGACGCTGCTGTTTTATAAAGCGTGTGTCGGATATTGAGTTTCGGTGCTGGTACACGCGCGGCACATTCTCCGTATGCTGACACCGGTTTTATTGCCGGAGAAATTTATTGTAGGCCAGAGATCTTCAGCATGGTGCAGTCAGGGGTCACTGCTCATGTTTCTCCCACCCTGGCACAGAATTTCTGACATCAGGCTTCAGTGTGCTCCTACTGTTGTCTCTTCCTCTTTCATAAATCTCTACATTTTCATTTCCCATTCTTTCCATTCCTCTTTGTGTTTTTTTTTTGAGGTTTATGAATCCTAGTGATTTCAAATATAAAAATTTTGAAATCCTATATTTCATTTCTTATTCGAGCTCCATTGAATCAATAGGTTTATGCACTAGGTTTATGATTCCTGTTGATTCCAATATCAAAATCCCAATATTTTGTTTCTGATTATTCCCAGTGTTTTGTGCAGTGTATCACTAACAAATCAGTTATTTCTAATATGTCCATCAGTCTGCATTTAAGAATATACATTCTCTATTTTTCATAACACTGACTGTATCTTGTGAAAGGTGCACTTTAATATCAAACCGCAATGTTAAATTGCAAAGTGTTGGACCCTGCAGGATTAAGTGTAATAAGGACCATTTCCTTGCTCAGCATATACAGATGCCTGGACAGTTCATAATGGATGGCTGCCATACTTAACAGGCAAGAATAATGTGGCACAGATATAAATAAACAGATCTAGTGGCAGGGGGACCACCTTCTATTTCACTTAGATAGGCAGTTGACAGCTGCGGTGGGGACACCAAAGGGGATCTCAGGTTACCTGGAAGAGAATCTTTTTATATTATATCATAAAGTTTAATGTTATTAGTAAGAATGTAATTTTCTCAGCTTTGTTTGTACTATTGCTGATGCATTTTGGCATAGTGTACCTCCCTTATTTAGAATACTAAAAATGTTGACGACATCCTTACCCCATAGTAGTGATCTTCATTCAATTCTATGCCAATTTTTCCTTCAATTTTAGTAATTTTTACAGCCTTGTAGATGGATGAATTGTACTGTCAAGACAATGGTAGGAAAAGGGAATACCTGTACCGTGTAAATGTTTGATTTCCATACCAATTCCCACTCAATTTCCACCCACCAGATGTTACTGTGATTACAAGGTTTACGAACTCTAACAGTCGTCTGTCCTCCCCAGCCAGTGCACTTGGTCAGAACCCATCAAACAAAAAATAGACTAGTCCGTGCCCATCCGGCCTGACCTACCCCTTGACCCTTACATCTGTTCATCCAGAGATATTCAAAATATTACGCCATGTCTGTTTCTTCTCCAAACAGTGGGCATGTTTACAGATATTCTAGCATTGTTTATGATATCATAACCTGCTATTTGGTGTGATATCAGTGCTGGCGGTACACTTAACACTGTATGTGACATGCCTGGTCCAACTGGAATGTTGCGTGATTGACTGGGCTCTGAAGGCAGTTATAAAAATGTGACGTTGACATGTTGGTGGTCTGACAATGTGTTTTCTCTGGGAGAGTGATGTCTGGGGCAATGGCACACATCGGGCCAAGGGTGTGTCTAGCGATGTCTCTATGTGGCTATGTGCAATGCAGGTCTTCAAAGCCCACAGTTACATGTACATTGGGATATATCATATGTGACATATCCATAACCTTTTTTCTTCTAGCTTTTTGCTATGTTCCAATTTATACTATGCCACATAAAGGTAGAAAAAGTCACAGACATCTGCACTCTAGGAGCAAAGGTTACAAAAGACATATCTCATAGACCCAGAAACTTTGCAAATTTCCATTTTTTCATGTATTGTTATTCCTGTTTTGAACGAGGGTGTCTAAAGATTCAAATAGTTGACTCAACCACACATCTCATGTGGACAATGAAAACAACAGTTAAAATCACATGCAGAGACTGCTTTACAGTAGATATCCCTCCAATAAGGGCTACCCATCATGCACCAGTGATCCCACTGCTGCCACCATGTAGATGTTCCTGTGTAGTATCTTGTGACAGAAGAAAATTCAGCTCCTTGTAACTTGTGTCTTCTCTTGTCTACAGGACTTCCTTCAAGGAGACAGCACTAAGGCTAAGAAGATACTGGGATGGGAGCCGTCAGTGTCCTTTGACGTATGTAAATTATTCCCTTGTCGTCTATCTCGGCTTTCAGGTAATTATAGGCAAAGTTCAGAACTTTTTCTGAAAAGTGTAAGCTTAAAAATTTTGGGGGGGGGGGAGGTGGACATTACTGAGAAATTCTCATGTCATAGCATTTCAGAGAGGATTCAATTTTGTAACATTCTGTTGTTTCACCTTTCCATTATTATTATATAATAGTTGCACTGTTGTTATTTCACACTACATGTACCTGATAACTGCTGACAATGCAAGCTCTTTCAATCTCTGGAAAACATATCTTATGTGATTGATTTCTGTTCTAGCTTGTGAAGGATATTTTTTCACCATGCTTTCTTCTTCCTTTCCATTTGCTTCTTGCTTGGATAGGAGATGGTGAAAGAAATGGTTGACTCTGACATTCAGTTGATGAAGAGTCACCCGCTTGCTTGAACTGTGGTGGACAGTGCTTGTAACAAGGTAGCTTGCTGCCATCACGCTTTGAGAAGCAGCAGCTTTTAACACTGTGTGCATGACATTCATTTCTTTAAACCTTCAGTATGCTAAGGTAGTCATTTGGCATCAACTTGCAATTGTATAAGTTATGCTGTTTGGAGATGGTTACTAGGTGTTTAGAATGCTTGTGTCTCCTTCTTTCATCCTTTGAACGGCATTTCTTCCAGTGCAACCCCACACAAAGAATCGCCAGTAACACCTTTCCTGTTCTGCAGGCCCTTGTAGCTGAGATGGTGGAAGCTGATATCGAACTGATGAAGGCATGCCCAGTTGCCTGATCAACCAATCAGGACAGTCCAGCAAGCTGATCAACCAATCAGGACAGTCCTGAAAGCTGACCAATCAGAAACAACAATGAGAGACAACATTGGTTAGCGGATTGAAGTCAAAAGAAAATCATTTATGTCAACTGTTATATTATATTGTCTCTGCAATTATGGTGAAAAACCATTCTTTGTGGAAAGGGTGATTTATTATTCCTGGGTTAGAGGAACTCAGAAATATGTTATTTATTGTACTAAATAGGTTTCATAGACAAATGTCTTCACTTGCTTTTATGAGGTAAAAATATCTTCGATTATATGTTTATGAATTGAATAGAGTAGTGTTATTATGTAATTAAGAAAAGTCAAATTGTCAGATGCGAAATGGTACCTACCAAACTTGAGGCATATCAGTTGTAGCCAAACTATCAGTTGTTGGGAAGGTGTGTCCGGTAAGCCTTGCCTGCTATTGGTTGAACCATCTTTTGATTGACAGGTCCATTGCATAACAGATGACCAGTGCCTTCTGATGACATACATGTAGATATATATACTAGTACATTGTACTTCATGTTGCAGTGGGGATCTTTCCTCTGTGTATGGTTCACAACAGTTTTTCCTCCACAATATAAAACATACGTGAGTTCTAGCAAAAAGACCCAACACCTCTCACAAGAGAACTTTTGTGGTGGTTTTATTTTCATGGTGACCTCCTGATGCAAAATCATGACACTGCAAATATTTGTATTGTAGTTCTATTGCACTACAGAAATTTTTCCAACTCTGAACTTCAAGTTCCACTTGCCACAAAAAAACTCCTTTTCCCTCATACTGTGAAATAAAACCACCTTGGAAGTATATGTGTAGTAGTCACAGTATTTACCGCCACATCTGTACTTACACTACTCCAACAGATTCTTTAGCAGGCTGTGAAACTAGTAGAAATTGAACAACTGCCATATTTCTTCTGGGAAAATTCTGCTTACTTAAGTATGTAAGACTTAACTGTGAGGTGTTTACAGGGTAGCAGTTAAGAACAAAATTTTAACAGAAAAAGTTTTTAGATCTAGGTGAATTGAGTTCCCCAGTGCTGAGTTGGCAAAACATTACGTCACTCAGTTACGCCCTATCCACGTGGAAGCGAATCGGAACCTAAATCATCCTTTTCGGCGTTATCTATGTAAATTACTTTCCTGACTTAAGACGAACTCCGAGACCGCGTGGTCAGTCGAGAGAACCGAGAGGAATCCCGAGGTCGACCACTGCGGTCCGGAGCCGAGCTACTTCCACGTGGGCGGCGTGCCAGCCATCTTCATTTGGTGTAGTGGTTAGCGTTGGTGACCGCCAAGCGGACAACTCGGGTTCGATTCCCGGTTGTGACCTGCTCGCCCCTTTCGGTTTTTACAGTGGTTCCCATGCCGGCCCTGTGAGTACTGGCACTGAGGATAAGTGTGGCAGCTCCAGGGATGTCGGACTCGGAAGATTCGAGGACGAATCTTGAAAGAAAAGGGGGAGTAGTGTAACAGTGCTAACTGACCATGCTAAATGGTCGTGCGACCTTTTAGTGTAGTGGTTAGCGTTGGTGACCGCCAAGCGGACAACTCGGGTTCGATTCCCGGTTGTGACATGCTCGCCCCTTTCGGTTTTTACAGTGGTTCCCATGCCGGCCCTGTGAGTACTGGCACTGAGGATAAGTGTGGCAGCTCCAGGGATGTCGGACTCGGAAGATTCGAGGACGAATCTTGAAAGAAAAGGGGGAGTAGTGTAACAGTGCTAACTGACCATGCTAAATGGTCGTGCGACCTTTTGGTGTAGTGGTTAGCGTTGGTGGTGAAATATTTAGAATGGAGGTTCTCCATGCTTAGACATTCCTACTGAGCAATAATAAAAGGATGTTGTCATTGGTACCAATATGTATGGGTGAATGTTGTATAACGGTGCTTAACTTATCACTGTTGTTTTATCAGCAATGTATGAATGTAAAATTAAGATTGGTGGTCTGTCTTTTGAGCAATACATTTCTGGTAGAATGGACTTGTTGCTGCATGTCATTTTTCAGATGATGATGTGGAAAGCCCAAAGTTCCAGACTGCAAATCCAACAAAGCTGTGTCTGGTGCGATTTATATAATAACTCTGCATCTCTGTCAAATTGATGTAAACCATTGGTGCATAGTTCCAAGAAAACACATGCAAGTTTTAACTAAGCCAGTTTACTTCCTTGAGACATCTATGTCATCTTTCAATAGATGCCTCCTTAGGATCCCAGGACTTTGGAAACACACAATGCTTTGAGCACGATTGTTTTATAACGATTTTCTGTAACTTTTACCTATACTACTTGTCACCAGGCTATTCGGTGGTACTGTTATATCTGCAGATCATAAACATTTGTCTGACATCATTTTAATTACTTAGTATGAGTTATGAGCCAAAAGTACAAAACTCGTTCATCTTGATAAGAAAGGTCACCTATGAATTTAGAAAATGCTCTTAATTTCCTCCCACCCCCAGTAATACCTGTCCGATCTGTAGCCGGTTCCTGTCGCCCTCCCCACACAGACAGACGTGTTCTATAATTACTGCTGACGTCCTGTCCCTGCCCACCTGGCCTGGAGGCCTACAAGTCTGACATGTTTTCTTTTCTCCACTTTCCCCTGTAATTGTCATAAATCGGCGGCCGGACTGTTTGGGCAAGCGGCCGAGCGTAGCTGGCAACATGCCGCCGCTCGTTCTCACGTGGTCCGCGCAAATTGGAACCATTTGCCTCTCCTCTTTCCATTCACTCAGACGAGCTTCCAGCAACTTTCGTTACTTCATCATATTGTCAAGTTCTATTAACCCGTTTTTATTGTAGGTGTTGACGTTTTCGTCGCGGAGGTTTTGTACCCCTTTGAGTGC